GATCTCTCGCGACGGCGATCTTGCAGGTCCGGAGGACGACGTCGTCTGCAGCAGCGATGGCTAAGAAGGAAATAGCGAGCGATAACGAGAAGAAACTGAAACGGTGCGTGGAAGTAGAACCCATTTTAAATTATTTAAATGAGATGGGTCYATAGCTTTATATAGAATATATGGAAGGAGGCTTAATTATTTGTTATTATTTATTTTATAATAAAATTTGAGAAACGAGGAAATTGGAGTTGCTTGTGGACAACTGGAGATTTGGTCACGTTGATGCTATTAAATGATGAGGAGAGAGATGGGAAGACATAACGTGGGGAAAATCGGATACGATTTCTTGCCAAATCAAAATATACGAAAAATACTTTCTTTCTAACTGGTCAGCCAAATTTTTATGATAATTTATATTTYTTTTTTTGTTAATTTTARGTTTTTTCCTCACTATCTGAATATCTTGTATTTTGCCATTTATTTTAAGAATACCTCTCTCACTATATCAATACTCTCCTCCATTTTTCATAAACCTTACCAGCAAATCTATGTTGRTGTTTTGAATGGAAAATTAACCTGTGAAAATTTCTTATAYATTTATGAAAAATCAATACAACCATTAACATTCCATAAATGTTTAAAATATTATCATATATTTGTTTAAAAGATATTTTCGAGAAAATCGTATTTTCTAAACAAATGTCAAATATTTAGTATTTTTGTAATTTAACATTAATTTTATTGAAGAAATTTAACCTTAATTATATTATTATAACTTAAATAATGGCTTGAGAGATAAAAGATGGTAACAAAATCTGAAGCGGGTCAGGGTGGGGAATTTTATTCTTCTGTACCGAACCAAAGATTCCCGAACAACAAATACAGGAATTTTAATTTCTGAAAAAAGAAAAAAGAAAAAAATGGCTGGAATTTTAATTATCTTTTCTTCTTGACCCCATTTTATTTGAGATTCCCGATTCCCTACTACTTTGAGGCGTGACTCTTCCTGCATAAACTTCTGCCATTTTTCTTAGCTAAACAAATTTGACGTATTTCTTTTTCTTTTATTTGAATTGTAATTATCTAATAAGTATTATTTAGAATATTTTGCTTTTTTTTTAGAATTAAAATAGTATTCTTTTTCTTTGCAATTTACTCGTTCTTTTAATTTGGTTTTAGATCTTATCAATAATTGAGTTTTATTCTCTTAGTTTTTCTTACAAACGTATATTATAATACGTTTAATTAGAAAAATAATCCTAATTTTAATATAAAGGCTAAAATTAGGTTTATTTTCTTTTTTTAGATTAGGTTTTATTGTACCAGCTAAGAACATCGGGAGGTCTTTGGTTGGATTTGGATTTGAGATGAACTTGAAAATACTCGTAAGAATTTCATTTCATTTTCATACATTCAGCGTTTAACGATTGGATCATTGCTATTGTTGTTTCAGGTATCTCGAAGTTGATCGTTGGCATTGTTTGTTTTATCCGTGACATTCTACATACTTAGAAGTTTCAATTTCAATCTCAAATGATCTAATTAGTTTGATTCTTTTATTTTTTTAGAAAAGAAATTAGTTTGATTATTTATAATTATTGGACATTTTTTAAAGTGAAAATTAAGTTTCATTTAAATATTGTCTAACAGTATTACGGGGTTAGCACATGCAAGATTAATATGCTGTGAACTAAATATTTAATTCAATCTAAAATAATATTAATTAATTTATTAACAAATTTGTTAAAAATTTTATAATAATAATTATTTTACAATATTATATATTTTATAATATATTATATTTTACGTGTTTTAATTTAAAAAAACGAAAATAGCCTAAAATACAAAATAATATATTTATCAAAATTCATTTTAAAGTTTCAAATTAAATAAATGAAAACTTTTTCAGAACTTCAATTGCAATCATCTGATGCCTAAATAAAATTAAATTACCATACATTTATTTTAAAGAAAGAAAATAAATAAATAAATTAACGGAGTATTCATTTTGAAAAAAGAACCAAAATCAAATTTAAAATTTTATTTGTTTCCTATARCCGTTTGAATGGAGCGGGCCGTTGACCAAGTCAACCTTTGGAAGGACGCGGATTGGACACGGTTAAAGTTAGAGTTTAAAATGCAAGCCGAAGAAGAGGGKAGAGGATCAATCCTTCCAGTTCCCGCCATTCAACCTCCTCCGCGCTCTCTCTTTTTCTACGCATTTSGATCGCCGAAACCCTGGATTAGGGTTCGCTCTCCTTCAAAATCTTGCTTCAGAAGTGAAGAAAGTGTTCGTCGTCGCTGCGTAATCGTTGACGGCCATCTCTCAGGGTYTCGTTTCAGTTTCCTCCGGACCAATATCTCAACATCTCCACAACGAYGCCTCCTCCTCCGGTATGATTTCTCCATCTCTCTCCATCTCTCTCTGTGCACTGTTCTATGTTTGTTTTTTTTGAGCCAGAACCTTCCTTCGCTTTTAACTATTCAAGGCGTACGCACTAGACGTATTCCACACTCGTTCAGTCTCGATGAGACCGAAATCAAAGTCCCTGTTTATTGAAGTCATTTTAATTATACAATTTTGTAGGCCACTAGCTGTTGTTGTTGTTGTTTTTTTTTCTTTGCTGAAAATGTGATTAACATATTGAATTCATAAATCAATTACTATATATTGTAGTTTCATTTCTGTGGGCTCTGTTGCAAACTTTTTGTGGTTTTTTTTTTGGGTAGACTATAAAACTCTTCTTTATTCAGAATCATGTCTATGTTTATTGATTCCATCCCACTGGGAGGGAAATGCTTGTGCAAGGTGTACTCTAATTTGGGGACGATTTGGGTTTTACAGAAGAAAGTTTCAGATTTAGAGAAATTAGAACAACCCCACCTCTTTTAATTCTTTATGTCTTGTTTTACATGTGAAATATGCAGTGAATATCTWCAAATTGTGAACACTTTCTATGAGCTTTCTTCTCACAGTTTGAGGATTCAGGTTATCGAATGAATACATTTTTATCAAATGGAAGCAGTGAGGCTGGAGGAGATTCATCTCCTGCTTGTTAAATGGTAACTAACACCATTACTGCTGCCACCAAAATTATCCTCTTCGTATTATCCTACTAAATTTGCTTCTAAAAATGATGGGTTTGAACGTTTCGTATTGAGATGGGGGATTGTTTTCAGATCTATTTAAAGCCAAAAAAATAGTACAGCTTAACAAGACGATAAATGTATACATAATTTAACATTTTGAGAGACGATCTCTAAAATAGTGTTCATTTAATATTGTTTTAGACAAATGTGCATGCAAGTCAATATGTTACGCACATTAATCACTTCAACACAAATGTGTATGTTTTCATTAAACTTTTATATTAACAAATGCAATATAATCTGGGAACTGTTTGAACCCATAATTTACTTATAAATGAAGGGAAACAAATCTGAAAAAGTTTTGCATTAATTACATAACTTGCAAAATGAACGTGGAAAACTCCTCAAAATCTTGTAGAACTACTGTATGAATGAATCTTACATAATTGAATATGGGATAGAAACACCCAATTTACAAAATCAAAGAATGGACAATAAATCCATAATTTTAGCAGCAATAGGGACATATAATGAGTCCATTCTCGTCACATTCTAGACATATCCTTTGTTCACCATCCTCACCAACAATTTTTTATGGCTCCCATTGCAGTTGAAACAGGGCACAAATTGGATTCTGCCGCACCCATTACATGGGCTCCCGGTGAGATGGTCGGTTGGAACCCAATCGAAGAGCGCCCGGAGCCTCCCCTGCTCGTGCAGCCCCAACACCTCCTCTGCTCCGCCAATGTAACTTCCTCTGATGAAGAGCTTAGGAGGTAACGCCTTTGAATCCAAAACTCTTCATAACTCTTAGAATTTCACTCTGAAAGTTTCTAATAGAAATCTTATTCTGTTGCAATCCCCAAAAGTTTTCCCGATTCCTCTAAGAGTTGTTGTGTAGAGAATCACTGTATCTCTTGTGGGCAATTTTCTTGGAAGCCAAACAGAGGATTCTCTTTTTCTTCTCCTTCTTCCTTCTCCTCTTTCTCTTGAATTTTGCTTCTCTTGAATATTCTTCTTCTGCCAACTGGATTTTTCTTTCTCTTCGACGAATCGATCTTCTCGTTCGTGTTCTTGAGATAAGCTTTGAGATTTTCGTTTCTGGAGAAGAAATCCATATGCATTTTGGTAAGTGACAAGGATACTTTTAGTAGCAATCCATTCACCATTTGATGCTTGAAAAAAATACCAAACTATCATGGAATGATATTTTTTAATTAGGAAACTTTTGATATTTAGGAGATTCTTCCTGTCTCAATAACTCTCATATCTCCTATTTGCACTGCAAGTCACTATGTGATGATTTGTTTGAGTAATTTTAGTCTGGTGCTGGATTGAAATTGCTGAATATCGTTTGCCTATAGGTGGAGAACTGGATTCGGATTGAAGCCATTGTAGTTTAGATGCAGCTTGAGGACCGAGTGAAGGTTGGGAGCGGGCTGCTTGCTTTTCTTTATTCCTGTACCTAACTCTTCTTCGGGGTAGTTCCCGCAATTGAGGTTTCGCATGGATGGCCTCATTTTGAGCAACGKGGAGATTATCAATAAAGGCCAACACCGATATTACCAAACAAATTTATAGGTTATTATTATTATTTTTGAAAGAATTATATTCATTTGTCAAGTTTTCCTATACTTCTCGTTTTTTGAAAAAAATAAAGCCATTATTTATGGATTGGTTTGAAGAATCTAGACAATAAAACGCATCCACGTAATTCTTAATTATTTAATGAAATGATGATTAAAATTACTGCTGCCACCCAAATTTTCCTCTTCACATTATCCTCCTAAATTTGCTTCTAAAAACGATGGGTTTGAACGTTTCGTATTGAGACGAAAATGAAAAAGAAACTGTTCAGAAAGAGAGAGAGAGTGAAAAAAAGGTTAACAGTGGAGTTCAAACGGCTAGAAAGTTATTTTAAAACCGACCCGAACCGGATGGGGTCGATTTTAATTATAACTATTATATATGTATTTATTGAATAGATATTTTATTTGTTGGGCCGCGTCCACATTAATTAGGCTCGGCCCATTTCCTTTTTACTTAATTTTATAGATATTTTATTTTGGTTATTTAGTTGCTTCCTCTCCACGCTGCTTCGTTTTACCGTTGCCCAGGATTGCGTCTCTCTTCCTCACCAACTCCGATCTCTTCTTCGCTCTTCCGCGGCCATGGATCGCTCTTCAATGCCTACATCCACGCCGATCCCTCTGTCGGATTCAACCCTCCCCGCGGTGTCTTCGAAAGCCGATTCATTCCGGTGGGGAAGACCATCTCCGACTACGCGCGTGCCGTCATCGACGATCCTCTGAACCTCTACTTTGCCCTCGTCTCTCAACGCTGTATACCTATCCAATCCTTCGATTTCATCTTCAATTACTTCGCTCCGATATGCTTTCTCTATTCCTCCATTCTCATTTTTTAAGGAACACGAAAGAATCCAGATTGTCCCTCTCCTCTCCCTCCTCTCTACTATCCTCTAATTTCAATCGCCAAACCCTGGAGTTAGGGTTTACGGCAAGTTGTTTTTATTTCTAACTTRTTGTTTCTGGTATTGCAGTAGATGGCAATGGTCCAGTGCTTACGAGGAACCACGGCAAAGAAGAGGGTTAGGTATTCCTTTGTGGGCAAGTTGTTACGGCAAGTGGGATAATTTACATTTCCTTTGTGGGCCGTATCCTGAGGCGTTAGGTATTCATTCCATCTCCATGAGATCAAAAGCCGAATCCTYATGGTTCCTCATTGTTCCATCGGTAGTAAATTGGTTGGTATGTTTAATCTGTAGTTAAAGTTGATTTTTCTTAAACAAGTTTTTCGAGAAATGAATTTGAGATTCTATTTGAAACAGAATTTGAGTGAGGAACTTAGAGAAGCAAGAAGGGATTCTTCTACCGGTCCCGCGGGTAAAAACGATACAGAATAACGGTGAACACTTTCACGTTGCAGCATGTAAGTTCTGTTCTTCATATAAATTTGATTGTGTGTATTGCTTTTAAAGCATATAAA